AAGGAGAAGCAAGAATTCCTAGGAAATAGATGGGGAGGAGAAACTTCTCATCTCATCCCCAGGAAACATATCCTTAATCTTTCTTCACTGAGCAAGAAAGGGGGTGAATTTTTCCCAGGCTGATGTGCAGCACTGGGAGTTGGGGTGAGGAACTCCTATGAGAATGATCCAGTGACTGTGCTGTCTGTGCAAGGAGAAGCAAGAATTCCTAGGAAATTGCTGGGGAGGAGAAACTTCTCATCTCGTCGCAGGAAACATATCCTTAATCTTTCTTCCCTGAGCAAGAAAGGGGGTGAATTTTTCCCAGGCTGATGTGCAGCACTGGGAATTGGGGAGAGGAACTCCTACGAGAGGGATCCAGTGACTGTGCTGTCTGTGCAAGGAGAAGCAAGAATTCCTAGGAAATTGCTGGGGAGGAGAAACTTCTCATCTCATCCCTAGAGAACATATAATTATTCTTTCTGCACTGCATGAAAAAGAGGGAGAGTTTTCCCCCTGGGAGTTGGGGTGAGGCTGTCCCACCTTGGCCTGTTTTCCGTGGAAGCGGTTGAGCTCGTCGCGGCACTGGCGCAGCCTGGTCAGGCAGGAACGATACTCCTCACTCAGGGCCTCCAGCTCTGAGCGCAGCTCTGAGCACTGAAAGCACAGCAAGGAGCTGTTAGCAGGAGGGATCCCCTCCCTTCTGTACCCCCCCAGGCTGGCAGAGCTCCTCCTGCAGCGGCTGCAGCGTTTCACCCGCGCGCGGGCACTGCCAGCACGGGACACTTCTGCCACCTCTGTGTCCACACATACCTGTAGGGAACAGAGCAGATCTCAGGGTTACTGGGAATGTGCTGCTGGAGGCAATGCCCACCCTGTCACCACCCCACAACCTGCTTGGCTTTGCTGCCAACCTTCACATCGCACGGGAAAAAGGAGCCAGAGTGATTTTTGTGAGCACCGAAGTGTGCGGGACAGGAAGAAGATGTAGAATGCAAACTCCTGTCAAGGTTTGCCTCTCACTCTGAAATTGCTGTCACAGCAATTCCACACTCCTTTAAACCCTCTGAGACATGGGACAGGCACCTTGGTTGTGCTGCACAAGCCCAAACCCCAAGGAAGGCCCTTTGACCTGAGTGACCACATGGCACAAGACCCACAAAACCATCCCAATGAGCAGTGGATTGGGAGCAGCTGTGGAAGGAGCTGCCTGAGCCCAAAGGCTGAAGGATTCATAGTGGGAACAGCTGTGTGTTGTGTCCTCCCAGGCTATTCCCTCTTGCTGTGATTGTGCTATATAAAGCACATCCCCAGGTGTTGTTGGGTGATGCCTCATGGTGGAGGTGAACTCACCAGTGTGGGTAAGTGCAACAAGCTCTTCTGTATGGCTCTATGGTGAACTCACCAGTGTGAGCGAGTGCAACAAGCTCTTCTGTATGGCTCTGAGCTCTGCTACAGTAAGTTATAAATCATTTTATAGCTGTTTTTTAATGAATCCTTACTGTCTGAGTGCTGCTGTGAGAACTGTTCCATGTACTATTTCATGGGAAAGAATGTGTAACGGGCTGGAAAACTTTGAATTTCTTTTTGCAGCCTAGTTGTAAGGGTATTGCTTTTGTTAGCAGACCCTCATATTTACAAGCCTTTTCTTTTCCTCCTCTCCTTCCTTTGTGCTCAAGGTTTCAGTGTTTCAAGTGTGACTTTGGCTTTTTCTTGTGAGGCTGCTGAGACTCTTTGAGCCAACAGAAATGGGTTTGTATGGAGAGGACTCTGCTGCTATAGTTCTGGGTCCTGGGCTGATGGTGCCCTGTTCTTGCATGTAGGTGCTTCATTAGGAGTTTAGGTAAGGTTGGTATCAGAGCAAAAACTCAGCAGAGCTAATCCTTACAAGACATCAAGCTTAGGTTACTTCCAGGAGCTGAAGTGTGTTGTGTTGATTCAGTGACTTCCTCACCTCGTTCTCCTTTGCTGTGAGCTGGGATGTCCTTTTCTGCACCTCAACCTTCAGATTTTCTTCTCCCTCCTTCTCAGGGTGCTCTAACAGAGCGTTTTGTTTCTTCTTGGCAGGAGTGAGAGGTGGAGTCTGCATGGTGAGAACCTGGTCTAGAAAACAGTCAGGCTTCTGGTGAGAAACAGGTCCAGGCTCTTAGTTTGCTTTAGGTCTTGTTTACTCAGCAGTTTAGGGATAACACTTGTGTGCTATGCACATAGCAGAAGACACAGGAGGTGTTTGTTATCACAGATCTGCCCCTGTTGGAGCTACTGCCAAATCACCTTTAGAGCAATGTTCTAAGTATTTGCTAGAAATGGAGGGGAGGGAGAGTTAAAATGCCTTTTATTGCATTGTGGGTTTTTTTTCAAATACAGCTCTAATTGCAATTATAAACTGGAATGTGTTTTGTTTGGGGGGAAAAAACTGATATAGCCACTGAAGTAGAATTTGCAATGAAATGCATTTATTTTTTCAAGTGTTTGCCATCATAAATACATTTAGGTTTTAATGTTAACTAGCAAAAATATAAGAACTCGTTTTGTGCAGCTCTAAAATAATTCTTTATTCTAAACCAGTGTAGACTTCCCCTAGAGTCAGGGCTAAGGTTCCTGAGTCCAGTGAGTGCTAGGTGGGGGTTACCAAGTTTGCTGACCTTTCCTTTGCTCTGTTCCCTCCTGACTCTTCTGTTGGTTGTTCTGGTTCTGGATCAGGTCTGGGAACACAAACAGCCACATTATTATACACAACACTTACCCAGGTCTCTTATTCTGTGCATCTTTGTGTTACTTACTGTGTAAATGGCTGATTATTTCCTCCAGTTTTACCTTCTGCTTTTGTTCTTTTTGTAGTTTATCTGCAATAGTGAGAGAAGAAAATCAAGGTTGGGGTAAATCTCTGTATGTTCATGCAAGGATGGTGACTTTGCTATTCTCCACATGTGTAAAGTGCAGCAGATATTGTTGGCTGCACTGAGCTTCTTCCTCTGCAGAGCTCTGTGATTTTTAGCTGTTAATTGCCCTTTCAGTTTTGGCAGCTTTTTCCAGTCTGCCTTACATTCTACTAATTTATGGGTTATTTTAAAACTGTTCAGGCGAGACCTGTGATGAAATTAGAACTGCCACCCATTTGCTCTTCCTTAATTGGGTTTTAAAGCAGCCATGGGAAGCATGTGTGAGCTGCCTTGTCTCTATCTGAATTGGTACTTTAGGACACTATTAGCTCATATTTAGAGGCTGATAAAACCCATCACCTCACTCACAGGTGCTGCCTTGACATCTGAGCTGACTTTGCATCCTTACCAGGCACTGCTGTGTTTGGGCCTGGCAAGGATGCAAAATCCTCCTCATCAGGTCTCTCAGTCCATCCTTTCCTCTAGTAAAGTCACTTCTCTGAAGTCTTTAGTTGGAAATGACTTTAGGAGCCTTTGGAAATCAGGAGCTTTTGTGGCAAGCTGAGCTGTGCAGCACTTGGAGTCTTTTGCGTACGTGTGTGTACTTGGCTTGAAGGACCATGGTTTTAAGAGTGTTTTCCTTATATCTGCCATTCATTTGGAGGACAGACACCCCCTCCCCATGGCTCCCTGCACAGGATACCTTCGATGGTGCTGATGTGCTCAGCCTTGAGGTCGTTGTCCTGCCGCAGGACACTGGCTCTGTGGCGCAGCGCGCTGTGCTCGCTCTGCAGGCTCTGCAGTGCCTGCTGCAGCTGCTCCTTCTGAGCATCTGCTCTCTGGGGCCAGGAGAGAATCACAGAGTCACATTGCTGGGGAGGGACCTCAAAGCTCTTCTCATTCCCTCCCTGTCAGGCAGGGACACCTCTCACCAGCACAGGTTGCTCCAAGCCCCATCCAACCTGAGCTGGAACACTCCCAGGGATGGAGAAGCTACAGCTTCTCTAGGCAACCTGTGCCACTGAGCCCTCCCAGGAAAGAATTCCTTCCTAATATCTAAATGTCTCCTCTGTCAGTTCACATTTCAGTATGTTTTAGACACTCCTTTATTTTAGACCCATGGGTTACAGATTAAAAGGGATGTAATTATAGCTCATGAAGTCAGAGATGCACATCCAAACAAGGAACTGCACTAAAGCATTGAATCATGGAATCCCAGGCTGGTTTGGGTTGAGGGGACCTTAAACTCCTCTCATTCCACCCCCTGCCATGGGCAGGGATGCCTTCCACTAGCCCAGATTGCTCCAAGTCCTATCCAACCTGACCTGGAACACTCCCAGGGATGGAGAAGCTACAGCTTCTCTAGGCAACCTGTGCCACTGAGCCCTCCCAGGAAAGAATTCCTTCCTAATATCTAAATGTCTCCTCTGTCAGTTCACATTTCAGTATGTTTTAGACACTCCTTGTTTTTAGACCCATGGGTTACAGATTAAAAGGGATGTAATTATAGCTCATGAAGTCAGCATCAGTGAAAACACAAACTCCCATGGAGGCTGTTCCTGCAGGGAACCAACATACCTGTAGCTCACTTTGTAAGATGTGGAAGTTGTTTTCAAGCTCTGTGTGTGCTGTGGTAATTTTGGTTAATTCAGCTTTGAGCATGGTGTCATGCTCTTTCCAGAAGGCAAGGTCCTCTCTTGTGGCTGCCAGGGTCCTCTAGGGGAAGAGAGCAAGAACCCATGGGTGAGTTGGGACCCACAGGCTGGTGGGATCATTCCAGTCTGCCCTGGATAACATCAGCTGGACTGTGCTGGGGCAGCTCTGGCTCCTCCAGCACCAGGGAATTCAACAACCAGTGTGGGGCTGATGCCATCTGATGGACACAGTGAACGTGGGCAGAGAGTGGAACAGGAGTTCTGGTGCTGCCAGCAGGATTGAGAAGCCTGGTAGTACTTGGGATAAGATTGACTTGTTTTTCTGCAAATACCAGAAAAACATGACCCATGGGTCAAAGACAATTGCTGCCCCTGGGGGGGAAAAAAAAAAATCTATTTTCATATAAATGAGAAACTCCAGAAAAAGACTCTCCAGAGACTTTGTGCCCTGGATGTCTGTGTGTGTGGCCTGTTGCTCCCTGAGTGTAACTCTCCAGGGACCTCGTGCCCTGGATGTCTGTGTGTGGCCTGTTGCTCCCTGAGTGTGTAGAGCAGGGAATGGGACAAAGGGATGGTGAAGGAGAAGGGATTGCACTTTAAACTGCCAAACAGCTGTATGTTTTCCCCATCTGTGAGCTGTTTGAATAACCTGATGTGCAGCTCATGCAATGAGCACAGGTTGCATTAAGCTGCTTTGGGCTTTACTCAATAGCTAATACATCACAGTTTTGCATCTTTGTTGCTAAGGGTAAGATTTGTCACCTTGCCCTGAAATATGGGATTTCTTTGTCACAGTAGGAGCAGATTAAAGCCAAGCCAGATGTAAAATATGTTGCTCACCTGAGAGTTTTGCAGCTGCTGCTCTGCTTGGAGTTTGTCCTCCAGCATCTTCTGGAGAGCCTCTTTTGCCTTCTGCTCATAGGTTTGTTTCTGGTCCTCCATCTCTATCAGGATCTTCTTCACACACTCCTTTGAGTAACTCTTTAAAGGAAGAAATAAAGTACTTGTAGGGTCTCACCTAGCAGATTCCTAACCTTGCAAAACCTGAATATTAGCAAACCCAGAGTGTGTAGATGCTACTGTGGTTTTGCTGTGAAGCATTGCTTCAGCAAAGAGGAAAACTCCTTTTTGGATCTCTATCTAATCAGACTGATTGAGAAACTGAGACCCAACCCAATTCCATGGTTTGGTATTTTGTTTTCCTGCCTTTCTTCACCCATATGTGTTTCTCAGTGACTCAGACATTACCTGGGTGCAAGCCTGCAGCTGATTTTCAAGGGCTCTTAGTTTGCACTTCAATTTATCTTCATTTAGCTGACCCTGGGGGGGGGAAAAAAAACCCAAACAGTTGAGCTGACATGTGAAATCAGGAACTACACAATATGCCCCCAATGTTTTGTTAGCTTGTGTTTTGATTTGCTTTCTGCTTTTGTGTCTAATATTGTGGCTGAACTGGGTCAAAGTCTCTCGAGTACTGAGGGTTCAAATAAACCTTCATCTTCTCAGAATAAATGAGGTATGGGGAAGTGAAACTTGAATGGATTGAAAAGCTCTCCTGAGGCAGTTCCCCTGGTTACTGAGTGCAGATGTTTGTAATGAAATGACAAGTTAAGAGTGAGGGGAGTTGGAGTTGGGCTGGATGGGTCTGGAAGAAGCAAAGCTGCCACCTGTCCCCATGTACAACTCAATTCCTTGGGTTGTGCTTCCTCCCTGCCTAAAGCTCCAGCTGGTGTGAGCATCTTGTGCTGCTGGTTTCCTTGGAAAATAGGTTGGGTGTGTATTGCAACATGGAGCAGTTGGGCAGGGGGATAGAGGGCAAGAGTGATGATTCATTTTCCTCATTGTTCTCTCGGTGTTAGTCAGGCTGCTGAGGCTTTATGAAACCAGACTGCATGCAAATGTAGATAAAATTTCTGCCCAAGAGTTCACGTAGGCTGTTTTTCCACCCCTGAGACCAAGAACATCAGCATCCTCTCTGCTTCCTGCTGCTTGAAGTCAACCCTCTGAACAGCAGCTCCTTGAAGTTACAGGCACAGCTGTTAGACCCAAGCCAAGCCACATTCTTTTAGCACTGCTTAAATCTGCACAGAAATCTGTTTATAGCTCCAAAAGCTGAAATTCTCCCAGTTTAGTTGTTGGTACAAAGAACTAAACTCTGCAGAGCTGTGAGGTATTTGCAAAATTCAGGCTCTGTTTCAGAGCTCAGGAAAGGAGAAAAAAAACCATGCTAAAGTAGCAATTTTCTTTTTAAAGAAGAGGAGTTTAACATTAATTACTCTATAATCATCACTGAGACTTAGCATCCTTCATCTGGCAATGTTTTTAACTCAGCTAAGCAAGTTTTACAACAGATGGGGGATTGAAGGCACAGCCCTGGGGTAGGAAGGTCTCTCTAACCTAGAAATTGTGGGAGAGGGAAGGAACTAAATGCTCTATCCCTTCAGTTTGTCACCCCCATCCTCCTGCAGAAGCTCCATCAAGATAGAAAAACCCTCCCAAATACAAGCAGCACCTCAAAAATGACTCTTTGGCTGTTGAAAGAGTTGCTGCCATACAATTCATTCATGTGCAAGCAACAGCATTTGTTTGACACCCAAAATATTAGGAAGGATTAAAAGGGTACTGCAACCAGCATTTGGCATCACACCTGGGCCTGGAAACTGGTACCCAACCATCAGTTTGCACAGCAGTAGGGTGTAGGACCTGTCCATCCCTCCCCTTGGATACCTCCTGGAGAAAATCCCTCAGCCCCACCTGCCTCTCTCCATGTGGCTCCTGGGGGTTCCCTCTAAGCAGCAGCAGCATCATCTGCCTTTGTGTTCCCCCTGTTCACAGTTTCAGCACTGAGTTCATTTTTAGGCTGAGGAAAGGCTGAATGCAAGAGGCAGCAGCAAAGCCTCAGTTCAGAGGCAGCAAAAAGCACCTACCTGGTTCTAATCTGAGGTTTCATGGCAACTTCCTGCAGAGTGTCAGGGTGTTTTTTCCTGCTCATATTATATTTGAGGAAGCCAGTGAAGGCGGAAGCTCCTAACCACTAACATCTGACACTAGTTTTTACATCATCTCACCCAATCACTTTGCTTTTCTGCCCCAACAGAACTTTCAAACTTTTTTTTTCCAATGGCACAATGAACTGTAAATGCAAATTTGATTTCAGAATCCTAGAGAAAAGCTTCATCTGCTATATAAAATGCTTCTTAATGTTGTGTCTTGATAGCAAAAAAAAAAATAAATATCCTGGTTTGGTGCTGCCCAGATGATTTTCTTTGAGCTGTGGGGAGATAGTTTGATGCAGGGGAATGATTCAGCACCAACTGCCTTAATGTTGGGTCCTTCTGGCCCATAAATACATCCCTGAAAGGAACAGGAGCTGTGGTGTGTTGGAAAGGATATCCCTGTTGTGTTCCCAGATTAAGGAACAGTCTGTCTTTTTCCCCCATCCAACACAAGGTTGGCAGCACTTGGATGCATTTAAAATTTTGGCAAAAAAAAACAGGGTTCAAAATGTCAAAACAAGTTTCAAATGAGGAAAAAAAACTTGGTGGGAGATGATTGGGTTTATTCCAATTTTTTCCCCACTTGCACACTGATACTTGCTTTTATTAAGGCAAGTATAAAACCCCCAAAACCTTATAGAAGGATTTTTAGACTTGCTGTTGATCTGAAAGCAAAGGACACTTTGTACTAGTCTTTTTGGGGCACAAAAGGGGAAAATTGAGGCCAAGTGACCCTCTGATTTCTGAGCTTGTGTCCCACCTCCCTAAGCACAGAGGTGACAGCAAGGTAAAGGGTAGATGAGCAGTTCTGCAGCTTTCTAGTACCTGCCAGGATTTCTCTGATGCTTGCAGCAATGTGGAGAAAAGTTCCTGCAAAATCACCATCTTCTGCTTGAGCAGCAGCTCTCGGTGCAAAGCTTCCTGGGGGGAAGGGAGAGACAGTCAGGGAGATCCCCAAACTGAGATGGGACCCCAAATTGGTCCAGCAACTCCTCCAGCCCAGGGTAAGGCTTCCCCCACTCAAGTGACTTCAGGTCTTTGAGTGCTTGATCTGTAGGTTTTTATGGCCAGATGCAAATTGAGCATATAACACCCCTTCATTTATTAATGATACTCATTTTAAAAGGATTGTTCTTGATGAAAATCAATTTTCCCAGTGGGTACTGAACACTGGTACCTACCTTCAGGTAGTTGGACAACTGAACAATTTCCTGAAAGGGAA